CCCCAAAACCCCAAAACCCCAAAACCCCAAAACCCCTAACAGGTAATCTTGTGTATGAATCAATGATGTATAACATATTTTATATTTAGAATAAAGAAGAGTGTAATTAAACTGTTTCTTGACTTAATATATATCAAAATGAATTTGACATGAATTTATCTAAGTTATTTTCTCAAATTCCATTAAACTTGAGAGCATATTCTTCTCCGCTACCTTTGTTCTTAGCAGTAACGTATCTCATTTTGCAAGAACCTTGGTCTACCTATCTTACTGCAACATTAAATACAGTAGATTTCTTGGCTTCAATTGGCTTTACAAGAACTGTAAAAAGATGCTCATCATCATTAGAAATAAAGTCTGCAACTACTACCTTTTGAGATCTGAAAGAATCAGATAGAAGTTTTTGGTCTGTGTCAAGGCAAGCTGGGATTCTCAATGTAACGTAAACTGGGCTAGAAGCTCTTAATTGATCTTGGTTGAGGACAGTTACAGCGTAACCATAAAGGTTAGTGAAATTTTTGTCTCTAACATCTTTTTGAGTGTAGTTAGTGGAGATTGACACGTTAACATCATTAGGTCTTGGAGGAACACCATTGAATTTGTTATCAACATAACTCAAGTCTGCGAAATAGAAGATTTGTTTAGTATCGTTGGAAGCTTGAGTAACCTTAAAGGTGAAATTTCCAGTGGTATTTGCTTTAAAGACTGGGTTGCTAATGTTGAGCTTATAAATAGCGCCTGAGCCTCCTGAGAATTAATTTGATTACAATACTGAGCCGTTGTAACTGACTTAAACAGTTGCTGATTCTTACTATCCAAGGAGTTCTTAGTTTGATATCATTTCACTCATTTAGAGAGCTCTGAGCATAATGTCAAGAGTATAACCATTTTAGATGATAGCCATTGGATGTTGTCTTCTTAAGAAGTTAGCAGCAAGTCTAATTGCTGGAGCGTATCTAGTTGCGTTGACCATTGCTAAAGCCATGATTGACCAGGATGTCTGTTCAACAACTCTATCATTTCCTTGTGAGTTGAATGGAGATTAGGTAATGTTAACAGTTTATGGAGCAGGTTGTACTGCACCAGTCATATTGTCAAAGTGCTTAAGAAGTTGAGGAATAGTAACATTCTGAGTAAAATTTTAGATCTAAGGAGTAATGAAACTTTGGTTTGCAGTAGCAACAGCAACTATTGTCAAAGCAAGTTGATATGGATCAGAAGTAATATTTTGCCATGCGTTAATAGAGAAATTAGTGGTGGAGTTAATAGCTGTAATAAGTGCTCTGATTTCTTATGTGTTATTAACAGTCACATTGGTAGAAGCATTAACTCTTAATTGATTAAGGCATAATGTGTAGAAAGCATTGAGAGTAACTTAACCGATTCTATAGGTATAATCTGAATCTGTATCTTTTTAGGTCAGAATTGCATTTGAGCTTCTTTTTTGGAGAAGATATTTAACAGCAGCTTAGTATGTTTCGTTAGCACCTTTGAGGTTTCTAAGAAGTTGTGGATTTGTGTTTAGAATGAAGGCAGCATAAGCTGTGTTGACAATTGAACCAGTCTTTCTAGTGTCGGTAGTGTTATCACCTCTGAAGTTGTCAAATCCTTGATAACTTGGTGATTAAAATGAGCCTGAGTTAATAGCATAAGTCATTAGTTTTTTCAAGTATTAAGTTTGTTTCCAGTTAATTTCTTTAATGAATCCAGTTATTGAAGGCGGAAGATTGGGTCCCATTTAGGCAAGCATAGGCTACATTTGATCTAGGAGCATTTAGAGGATATCAATTCTACCAATAATATCATCAGAAGTAACTGGCTCAACTTATTCGAAAAGATTAACGAAAGTTGTTAAGGTGGAGAATAATTAAGTAGTTAAATATATTGTTCCTTGGGTGGTATTTATAGTAACATTCTCTGGGAATGAAACAGTAAAGTTTACAGAGCTTGAATTGTCACTTGAGTTAGTTGAGATTGCACCAGCTTATAAGAATTTTCTGGTTAGGCCACTGTTGAAGACTCTGTATGAGTTAGTGAATACTTCGCTGTAATTACTAAGTAAATCACTAGCATTACCTCTGACTGCAAGAGTTAGAGATGCTTTCTTGATAGCTTTCAATGGAGTTACATTAACATTAAAGGTTTGAGTTCTGTTGGCTAATGATTAGAATCTAAAGAGACTAAGGTCACTTCCATTGTCAGTTGTAACTAAGAGACTGCTGTTATCCAATTGAAGTGGAATAACTTAGATAGTGATGTTTGATGGTGAGAAGTTCTCAATGGTAAGAGTGGCATTGTATGTGTCATTTACAGCCATTTGTGATGGCATTTTGAATCTATAGTTGAATGCTTTTCCAACAGTGAATCTTTTGTATGAAGTTGCAACACCTACGTTAGAGTAGAAATTAGCTTAGATTCTATAAGCAGTGTTTAAATCGCTGGTCGCGAAAGTAACGTTAGCTCTTCCTCCGACAGTCTTAATGCCAGATCCCCAGAAAAGAGTCTCAGTCCAGTCGATGTTAGCACTTCTATTATAGTTTGGTGGTGTTAAGTGAGTCCAATTAAGGCCAGTTAAAGGTTGAGTTTAATTCATCATAATGCTTGTTGGAGCGAATGTTCTTCTGTATGGCCAGTTAATACCTTCTGAAGGTGGAAGGGCTTGCAATACTTCCATCATGTTGAACATCATAAGTTAGCTATCTGGTCCTTATCCGCCTAAGAAATTGAATCCGTACATTTGACTTAGATTAATGACATCTGTAATAGTCAAATTGCCTCCACGTCCAAATTGAAGATCTCTGCTCATTTGAAGGAAATATTCGAATTCAAAGACTAAGTTTCTAAGTTATGAGGCAGCTAAGATGACCTCTAGAGCAAGGTCAGAACTATTTGCTCCTTATGTCATGAAATATTAGCCAATGGTCTTTCCTGGGTTTAATTACTCAAATCTTCTTTCATCAATATCTTGGAAAAGATAAAGTTGAGCTGGAAGATCTGGCATAAGTGTTTCATTAAGGTCTTTGTCTTCAGTGGTTGAGACATAAAGATAACCTGGATCTGTGATAAGATTCTTATTGTTAGCATTTCTAACATTAACAGTGACATTGACTTGCTCACCTTGCATGTAATTTTGCTTGTTTGTCACAATTTCAACTGTTAGGTTTGCAGAAGGTCTCTTGAAGAATGAGATAGAGCCTTTTTGTTCTAGGAAATTAGCAGCTTATTCAAGAGTAATGAGGACGCAATTTATAGGAAGTGGAGTGTATGGAATTGAAGAGTTCAATGGATTTAAGGCTTATAGGGATGCATTTGTTGCATTTATAGTTTTTCCTTAATAGATTACAGAACCATTCTTCTAGACTTAAAGAGTTCCATTAAGCATTAATTATTCTAGGAGGTTATAATCGCAGAGGGTTCCATTAGTTGTGTTTTGGAATAGGAAATAATCCTCTGTTATCTTGTAAATGTTAGCATTCATGATGCCTCCCATTGGCATGTTAAAGCTAGTAGCTTTAATAGTTTTAACATTTGATGATGCTTTTGAGAGTTTTATGGCCTCTGAATAAAGGATTCTGTCCTTTTGTTTAATCAATATGAGATAGTAATCATTAGGGTCAACGAAGTTATTAGTAGTGATGTTCAAATTAATATCTTCATTGTTTGCAACAGTTCTAGTTGGTTATCTGTTTTAGTTAAGAAGAGCAACAACAACCTCTGGGCCGGCTTAGACTCTTGTAATATTCTTGGCAGCTGGAGGAGCTTATGTTAGATTTGCATTTTGCTTTAACCATGATGGACCATAATTTCCAAAAGAGTTTTGAGTTGGAAGGCTATTTCCTGGGAAGAGTTTAGATAGAATAGCTGCATCAAGGGTGTTGTTCATTGTGAAGTTTAGGAGAGTAGCATTGCCTTCATCAAGATTGAATAGGGCTTGTCTGGCAATGGCAACAAACTTGGAAACAACTAAAGAAGCATTAAAAGTAATAGTGTTCATTGTCAATGTCTATGGGAGAAGTCCATTCTGTGGGTTAGGAATGAAACCTTAGGTATAATTGTAGAAGAAACCAAGAGTATTATTGAAGTTATCTGGATTAGGGAATGAGCTGAAAACCAATAGTGGTGGCATATTTACTGATCCAATAGTCCAAAGATTTCCATCATATTTATAGGTGAAACCTGAAGTTGGCTCTACTTCAGTGAAGTTGTAATCAATTAAAAGGTCTTCATTGAAAGTTGGCCTATATAAAAATTAATTAATTGAAAATGGATTACTTAAAGCTGTTTGGATTGTTTTGGATATCAATCATAGAGTCGAATCTGTTTCTTCTGGTTTAGAATCCTTCCACAACAAGTGGGATTCTAACAACTCCGTTATCTAGGATGTGGTTGCCTTTCATTGAAATGTTATCTCTTCTGATATCAAGATTTCTCTCAACGTCCATAACAAGATTAGGGACTCTAATTTCTAGGAAATAGGTAAGGAATTCTCTTGGATAGAAGTTAAAGACACCAAAGCCACTGTAGATCTGATTCACTGCGGTGACATTGATTGGATTAGCGGTCATATTTGCCTGTAGTTGGTTGTAGGCTCTGATCTAACCTTACCCGAAATTGAAAACATCGTTGGTAGGCTCATCACCATTTGGATTAATATAGGTGTAGAAGTAAACCTTTTGAGATACATTGACAACCAAATCGGAGAGTGCTTCTGTTTGGAAATAGGTTTTAATAGAGTTTGGATTAATTCCGTTAGGGTTAAATTACTACTATTACTACTATTATTGATTCTATGGTTTTGTTTGGTTAGATTAGAGGTCTGGGCGATTAATGTTGAGAACTATGATGTCAGCAGTGTAGCTGGTAAAGTCAGAGTCATAAGCAGTACATATTATTCTGAGCTGTCTACTATTTCCTAAGAATGCTGGTGTTGGAGTGAAGTAGAAGTATGCTTGGCCATCTTATACAAGCTACATGGTTTATTCGCCATCAGTTTCAGCCCCTGCATCAAAGATAATAGCGACGTTATTTGGAAGAGGCTCTCCAGTAAGTGATTGAATAATAACTTTACCATAAATGGTTTCGTTAATATTTAAACTATCACCGAAGGCTTATGATTGAATCTTGTATGCGGGTGGTTGCTATTGATATGGTTAGACATCTTGGCCAGTCATCCTGACTTGCACAATTTTAGAAGCCGGTGCAAATTTAACACCAGCAACTCTAATGGCATAGTCACCATAATTAATATCTTGAGGGAGCTTGAAGACGACTGATACAGCAGGGCCAGTAAGATTAGTAACGTTCTAGGATATGAATGGGTTGGATTAATTGAGTGGCTATCCAGCAGCGTTATACAACCCAATATCGACTCTGATGAAGGTATCGTTTACATTAGTTGCTTATGCTGGAAGTTGTACTGGTCTGTTTGTTACAGCATCTATAAGTAGTACCTCAACAAAGACGGTATCATTTCCTCTGTAGACAACCTTATCTGTTGTGATGATTGCTGATCTTCTTGTTGCGTTGACATCAAGAGCTTAGCCAATCATGTATTAGATAGTGTTACTGAGTCTTGTAAGGTTCATAACTTGCTTTGGATTAACTGCTTCCATTTTAGAAGGATCACTGTTATTGTCAATTAGACTCTCACTGGCTGAGAGTTAGGTAACTTGTTCGAAGGTTAAGAAAGATTGTGATGACTTTCTTGTGATAAGTGAATCATCATTGTTGCTCGATAGTACTGCAAAGATTGCTAATAAAACCGTGAAGGTTCCACCGCCTATAAATAGGAGTCTTTTGTTCATTTTTAATTATATCTTGTTTTAAGCGAATCCCTTAAATACTTAAATTTATTAAGAAAGACCGAGAGCTGAGTGCTATATATAGATTTTGAATAGAACTTTCAATTCCTGATCAACCTTAATAACTCTTGACATACTCACTTAATAAGATAAGGAAAGGAAGTTATAATTTTCTCAGTAAAGAAAAGGAGAGACAGACAATTTTCAGAAATGAATAGTGTATTAGTGTGCTAAAAATACATATAACTTAAAAAGATGGATTCTAAAATGGTGAGGAAGATAAATTATTAAAAAAATATGTATGAACCACTAGTCATATATGAAAACAATACTAAAACATTGGGATATCCAAGTTTAATCTCAAAATACTATAATTGTTCGTTAGACTAGGAGGAACATCTTATAATGAGATCTAGACATCTTTTATATTAAAAAAAGCATAATTCATTGCTTTAGACTTATTTAAGAAATAAACGAACTAATAAATTAAAATTACTTCAACTCACAATATTACTTACTATTAAAAATTGAGAATGCATATTCAAATTATGAATGCAATCACGTTCGATTTTAACTCACGGGGTTTTGGGGTTTTGGGGTTTTGGGG